ATTTAGGTAATTTTCCTTACCACCTTTTGTGTTTTTTTTATTAATTGATTATTTATTTTTATTGTTGTTTAGTATTTAATCTTAATGAATTGTATTTTGTTTCATTTTTAGTCCATTCGAGGTTGTCTTAAAATATATTTAAATAAAAAAAAGCTTTAAACAAATAATTTAAAAAAACAGAATTCGGATCAAGGAACAGTATGCGTCACGCAGCCCGTGATCCGTAACGGAGCTGGCAGTTCGTGACGGAACTGTTCATGTCCCAAATTTCGTTTCTTTACCTAGAAGAGCTGCGTCACGGCAACTGTTCTTCCAAAGAACAGCTGCGTGAACGCGACTGTTCCTAGGGTCCTAGAAAACAATTTATTCTTTCGAAAAAAAAATAATAATATTTTGTACAAAATAAAAATTTAATTTTTCCCAATAAATCCAGAATGTACCATTATGAACAATTGCAATTTAATTAAGTTTAAGAAATATTAAATGTAAATATTAGCATGATTTCGGTTCTGGGTTTTTGGATTCGAATTCGGGTAGAATGTATTGGATTCAAATTCGGGTAGAATGTATTTTTAGGTTCGGTTTGTGGCCCGCCTTTAACCATAAGGCAAGAGCGGGTCTTTTATTTATTTTGATTTAACTGCTTCAGTTTGGATGATTTGGATGATTTGAATGAGTATGGATGCAATGATTGATTTTGATTGGAACGATTAATTAATTTTCCATATAAGAACTCGGTTCGATTAATTAATTAATTTGGCTTTTCTAACTAAAATAAATTAGAAATTGTAGGTTAAAAGAGGTCGGATTTTCCGGGCGTCGGCTTCCAACGGGTCGGAGTACCTAATTTCCTTACCCAGAATCGCCTTGGTGCGCCTGACCAGTCTTTTAAATAATTTGGTCTTAAATAGAAATGGGTTTAAAATGGAGTCATTTTTATAAAATAAAATTGGAAACGGTCCCATGGCCGAAAAAATGGGTGGCGACTCAAAATGTTTTATAAGACCGATTTATCGGCATCGTATCCAAAAAAAGGTTTTGTCACCACTGTCCATAAATAAAGATCACTTTCCATTCAAAAACAAAAAGTGAATGTTCTTCGGATCGCTCGGGGGCGGTGCGAAAACAGGTTCCGGTACGGTGTTAAAACTGATGGTTCCGATCGGTTTTCCGGCAAATCGTATAATTTTAAATTTTAAATTTTGAAGACCGGTTTTCAAAATTTAATAAATTTGTGAAAGCTATTTGTAAAAAAAATACGCCTAAAAAATTAAAAAATGGTTCAATTAAATTTATTTTTTTAAAGACTTGAGATTTCACAACAAAATTAAAAAAAAAAAAATTAAAAAAAAAAAAAACATTTCACAACAAAATTAAAAAAAAAAAAACACAAAACTGACAGTTTCTAATGGCTAGAACTGCCGATTCGAACCGACAGTTCCAATCTGATTCTGACCGGTTTTGTGAAACCACCGGTTTGCGGTTCCACAAATCTGGAATCGGAACCGAACCAGAAATCTCCGGTTTCGGTTCCGATTCGGACCGGTTCCGGTTCCGGTTACTGTTCGGATCCGATTCGAACCGATGATTCCGGTTTCCGAAACTGTAATATGGCCACCCTTATGTGTATGTACGTACCAATATAATATTCATAATTCTATCTATAAGTTGAAATTATTACAAATCAAGTCAAAATGTAAATTATCATGCATTGTTTACAAGGTTATATTCCATTATTATGGCATAATTTTAAGATTTATAAATATATAATTTATAATAATTGATCGGCACATCGTGTGGGAATTTATACTCCTACATATGCTAAAAGTGATGGGTACTTGATAAGAACAAAATCCATAAAAGAGATAAAAGTAGGAAAAGGTTTTCCTTAAACATAATAATGCACTAAAAAGAACTATATATAGGAATGATGGAAAGAGAAAATAAAAATAGATGCCACGTTTCCAATAATGGACAACTATAGCCACCATTGCTATAGAAGGAGAAGAGTATGCCATACCTTTCAATGACACAACAGAGCAAACTATAATTTCAACCAAAGGAAGTTGAGAGAGAGAGTGAGTTTAGAATTTGGGAATCTGTTGATCGTGAAGAGAGTGTCACCAACCATTTCTTGGGGACAAAACTCCCGTAATTACTAATACACCTCTAAAGTGGCTCTTCGGTTGGAGATGTTTACACGTAGCTTGACACTAAAATGGGGATTCCACTTCCCACTTGAAGCAAGGATATTACTGAATGTGTATATTCATAGGATGGGAGGTATTTTCAAGCCAATTTATGTACACTTAAATTAAATTTATTCTTCATGTAGTCTGCACTCTTTCTTTTTTTTTTTTTATTTATATAAGCAGGAGGTTTAAGTCTCTTAAACTGTAGAATATAAAGATTTTTGAGATTTAATCCCCTGAAGCTGTAGAGAGTTTTTAGCTCTCTCTCCCAGCAAAGTGCAGTTCACGAGGATCAATTTATATTATCACTAAAACAGGAGGTCGCCAACCACATCAACGAACACCTTGTTGGTCATTTAGTGACACTCTTTTATGTTGGCTTGATGTATAATGACATTAAGTTTTGACTGATGAAGAAAATGAGCTCTTATCTTACTGACCAGATATATATTATCCATTACATCTCTTTTTTGACTAATTGACAATGTTCTTGAAATCAGAAAGGAAAACTATATACATAGTGGAAACTTGAAATGATGCCACTTTAAAATGAAAATGAAATAGAATCATATCCACCGTCCAGCTACATAAAGAAACAAAAGTAAGGAACTATTATTTTGGATTGTTTCATGATTCACAGTTTGCTAAATGCTAAGTTTGAGGCTTTTTCAAATTTGATTGAGTCCCATACTTTAATTAATAATAGATATAAATATGATGACACTTGTAAATATATAAATTGAAATTGATAACATGAATTAGCTAAGTTTCTGACTTTTTCTTTCTTTTGGTATTTTAAATCTGAATTTTGTGCAGACATCAAATATCAATTTTTCAAAAAAATAAAATAGTATTTTTTTTTGTCATTTTATTTGAAAAGGATTTATTTTACCTATAAGATTAATCATTTTCATCCAAATCATCTCCAAACATAAGATTTGGATTTTATTTATATTTCTTATTTCTATAGAAATATTATAATTTACTCGTATTATATTACTTATTGAGTAATTGCCAATTTTCTTTATAAAAAAAATTTCATCCCTAAATTATATGGTCTAATCCTGAATCATGATCCATCCAAATGACCAAATAGATCATGGATTCCTCCCTCCCCAATTCTTGTAATTTCCACGTAATTTAGGCCTCTTCTGATTCAAATCGATCTATTTTTTGGGAAGTTTTCCAGAAAATAGAGTGCGACTGTGTTTGGTTGATATATTGAATTTCGAGGAAGTAAAATTGAGTTAATGAAATGTGAGATTATAAATGACAAAAATACCTCTATCATATATAATAATTGAAATATTTCATTGAAAAAAAAATCTAATTGAAATATTTCATTGAAAAAAATTTAATAACCTAAAATATTTCATTGAAAAAAACTTTAATAAAACAGGTTTATACGATCCACTAGCTTGTAATTAATATAATTTTTTAATTACATATTGTACAAAATATTATTATACTTTTATTTATTTTGTTAATGAACAAAATAAGAATAATAATTCTCTAAAAAGGCTTAATAAGAAAAGAGCATGTGTTGAATTAGAAGTACAATGGAGCAAAGTAAAAATAAGCATATACGCAGTGAAAGTTAAAAGGGTAAAATTGAGAATGTGAAGTTTTTGAGCTAAGGAAGTCCACTTCCTATGGGTGAGCACGAGAAGTTACTTGCCATACGATTAGGGAAGTTGTATTTTTAAGTTCCCGGAAATTACAAGGTTTGTGCCAAATGTTAGCCGCCGTTGTTGAAAACAAAAGAAAAAAAAATATAAAAAAAAATTAGTTTTTGCTTAATCCCACATCGGGGAGATAAGCAAAGTGAAGGTAGTTAAAAGAAAATTAGTTTTTGCTTTAATCCCACATCGGGGAGATTAAGCAAGTTGAAAGGTGTGATTTGGCTTATAAAATGGAAGCAATGGTGTTAGGTTTCCCTACACACCAAAATACTACCAAAAACACTTGAGTCGCGTTTTATATGTAGAGATTTGAGCAGTCTCTTGGATTGGTCTTTGGAGTATAGAAATTATTTTGGGGTGTTTTTGAGGGTTGTCGAGTTAGAAAAATTATTTTTGTAATGTGGTTGTAATACAATTTTGCCGCTATGTGAATATTTTTCTTGAATTGTCGTTTGGTCAACTGGCCGTGGTTTTTCTCTACTTGGGGAGTTTTCCACGTTAATATATCGTGTTTCTCTTTAAATTTCTCTCAGTCATTTATTTTATTTCTCATTTGTTTCCTGCTTGATAGCCGATTCGAGTGGCGGGAAAAATAAGCGATTTTCCCAACTAAGTGGTATCAGATGTGCCTAGTTGTTAGGCGGAGCTTTTTAGTGTTTAAATAAAATTATTTCTTGTAATTATAAAGTATGCTCTGTGGTTGCGGCTTAGTCTGATCTTCCACACAGAAAAATACTGTTGTTAGAAATATTTTTATTTTAAAAACCAGGTGGAAGTTTTGGAGTCTTGAAGGCGGGTGGAGCTTGGCTTTGGGTGTCGCTTGAGTACCGGTGGTGAAGGTAATAAATTATGAAGTTAAATTTCTATTCCCTGATAATATACCGTCACAGTAACTTCTGTCTAGAAGGCCGGATTTTAAGTGGGACCAACTTGTGACCCCTCCGTCCTACTGAGATTATTTACGTGGAAAATGGTAATATTGTCTAGGGAGATCATTGTGATCTTTTCCCTGGGTATTGCCGAATCGGTTTACTTCACTAATTGATTGGGTTCAGCTGTTAATAACTAGCACAAATGTAAGAATGTCGGCTATGAAGATGTGAAGATTGAGAAATTGACGGTGAGAATGAATTTTGCACTGTGGCAAGTGCAAAGTCAAAGACGTGTTGATTCAGTCTGGGACTGCATAGGTTTTGAAAAGGGTAAACCAGTCAGCAGAAGAATTCAGGAAAAGACAGTAGCAGGGAGACTTATCAGAAAAATCCAAGATTTAGCGATGAAGAATGGGAGGAGCTGGATATCAAAAGCGGCAAAGTTTCAAATTCGCATGGTGTCTAGCAAAAAATGTTCTGCTAAATGTGCTTGGATTGTCGCACACAAAGGAGTTTGTGGGAGAACTGGAAGAATTGTAAAGGGCAAAATATATCCAACAGGTTATATTTGAAGGAGCAAGTTTCAAAATACGTTGAAAAAATGGCGGAGGGGGAGGTCAGAAGCTGTCAAGATCAATTTAAAAAAAAAAAAAAAAAGTCCCATTCTAATACTCTAAGCACAGTGCCTCCTTTATCCTTTAAATACGGCCTTCTAGTCCGCTACTGTCATCATCAACCAAATTGCTTCTTGCAGCACTGTACCCTTCTACTATCTTATGTTATAAAACCACATAAGCCATGGCCTAGCTCCAATCATAAAGGCCCGCGTGGCTGTCCTGCCAAGTCCAGGCATAGGCCATATCACCCCTCTTCTTGACCTATCGAAGCGTCTAGTCCTTCACCATGAGTTACAGGTCGGCTTCCTTGTCATCACAACCAACGAATCCTCTACAGCTTTGCAAAAGCTCCTCCATTCACCAACTATCCCTCCTGGCCTTGACATTGTTCAACTTCCTCCCGTCAATGTCTTTGCCGTCGCCACTGACACTATGCCGGTCCTTACTCGCCTATGTGTCGTTGTAGAAGAGAGTCTCAGGTCCTTAAAATCCGTCCTTATAGAATTAGGCAAGCCAAAAGCATTAGTAATTGATTTGTTCTGTACTCAAGATTTTCAAGTCTGCAATGAACTGTCGATTCCAGTGTACTCATTTTTCACTGCCTCTAACGCTTTGCTCACTCTTTCTTTGTGTCTTCCAACTCTTGACCGTGAAGTGGACGGCGAATTCATTGACCTTCAAGAACCGGCTAAGGTGCCTGGCTGTACTCCAATTCAAACTCAAGACCTGCTTGACCAAATCAAGAACCGAAAAATTGACGAGTATAAATGGTATTTAATTAATGTTAGCCGGCTGCCATTGGCAGCAGGGATATTTATTAACTCTTGGGAGAATCTTGTGTTAGCCGCCGTTGTTGAAAACAAAAGAAAAAAAAAATATATAAAAAAATTAGTTTTTGCTTAATCCCACATCGGGGAGATAAGCAAAGTGAAGGTAGTGATTTGACTATAAAATGGAAGCAATGTTTAGGGTTTCCATCACACACCAAAATTACCACAAAACACCTTTGAGTGCGTTTATATATTGGGATTTAGAGCCAAGTCTCTTGGGTCCCTTGGAGTATCGTTAAATCATGGGGTCGATATTTGAGAGGTGTCGAGCAGAAAATATATTTGTAATTGCTGGTCTGTTACCAATTTTGCCGCACATACATAAAATTTGTTCTTGATTTGTTCGTCTTAGGCACGGCCAGTGGTTTTGGTTGTAACAATTTGCCGCATAATGAATATTTTTCTTGATTGTCGTTTGGCAACGGCCGTGGTTTTTCTCCACTTGGGGAGTTTTCCACGTTAAAATATCGTGTTATCTTTAATTTCTCAGTCATTATTTTATTTTATCATTTGTTCTTGCTTGAAGCCGATTCGAAGGGCGGGAAAAATAGCGATTTTCCCAACACCAACCAAACATGCTCAAAATCTGTATTTCCTAGGAAACTTCAACTTCCTTCCTTATTTACTCCCAACCAAACGAGGCCTTAATAGTTAATTGACATTTCAATTATATAAATGGATTGGATCATATATATGCACTTTTTTTCAGCTTAATCCTTAACTTTTTTTTAAGGTGCTGAAAGATATTTATTGCATATTATGGCTTATTTTTAATTTGCCTTTTTATGGGCAAAACGTGTTTTTAAGTCTTGTACTTATTTTACCTATTAAGCCTTTAAATTTTTATTCGTAAATATTGAACTCTGTGTTTTATCTTTTAAAATTAAACCTTATTTAATTAATGTGTAGTCATTAATTTTAATAAAAATAAAAGTTAAAAAGCTTAAAGTCTACCAATAAAATAAAAATTCAAATTTAACCATACAACAAATATTCATGGATTAACAGTTATCAATAATCAATTATTAGCAACCGTTATGAGGTATTAACTAACACGTACACAAACAGCTAAACCGAACAGGCTTTTGTAATCCAGTACATGTGTTACACGGTATAAGAGGTATGCACCGACTCGTGTAACATGATTGCTCAGTGCTCTCACTACACTGCTTTATATGTCTCTCTCCACTATCTTACTCGTCCAGAACAAGTCTTCTTCTTTCTTCTATTCTATCAACTTATATATAAAATCCAAACTCCAGTTTTCATCTATCCATCTCAGCCAAACACATTTCTCTTCTATTCCTATATATCTTTAACACTAACCTTTTCTTTTTCTTTATTTTTTCAAACAAAATATCCATAATATTCCTTCTTGTTAAGAAAAAGGAAATTACAGAAAACAAAATCTGCTACTATGTTGCCAAGAAGTAGAACTCTTCCAAGCAGAATCCATCACGGAGCTGTAAGGATCGACTGCCTTTTTCTTTTTTATTATTCGATTGGATGTATTGGATTACCATATGTATATTCTTCAATTTATGTGATTATTAATTTAATTTCAGATAGAAGAAAGGCATGACATAAAGCACTACTTACAACTTGAAGTACAACCAGTAGCTAAAAGTACTCGTAATAATCCTAATCCTAATGAAAATGGAAGTGAAGCAATAAATCCTCAACCCAACTATTCCAAATGCTTTGATGATGATGGCCGCTTGAAGAGGACCGGTAATTACTTACAAATTTTTTGAAATGCTTTGATGATGATGAAATGCTCACCTGTGTCTGGAATATATGAGTCAAAATAGTTTATTTTTATCTTGTTACACTGTTTAAATGAGCAAATAATTCCTCAGTCTGACATGTCGTATTGAATTTGAGGTCGGCTGAAATTGTTAATATAGATTATGTGGTGAGACTATATTGATATGCATGCTAAATGTGGTATAAATAATAAAATGGTGCAGGGACATTTTGGACTGCAGCTTCTCATATAATTACAGCTGTGATAGGGTCCGGAGTGCTATCATTGGCATGGGCCATAGGGCAGCTGGGTTGGGTTGCAGGGCCAGCTGTTATGTTGCTTTTTGCCTTTGTTAACCTCTATACTTCTAACCTACTAGCCCAGTGTTACAGAACTGGTGACCCTGTCAAGGGACACAGAAATTATACTTACATGGATGCTGTCAAGGCTAATTTAGGTAAAACAATACTTCTTTTTCACTTTTTTTTACTTTCAATTAGGTTTTTTTTAAAACTTTTTTTACATCATTTAAGAGGAGGTAAATTTTATATTGGCCAAAATCGCTCTCGTTCACTCTTAAGTATTCTTAGAAGTCATTTCGATTGATGGAATTTAAACATGTCCAAAAATTCATTTGGTTTTTAGAGATCAATAATGTAATTTAAATCATTTAATACTATCGTAAAAACGTCATTTATATCTATGGATTTTATTTTTCAATCAGATGATGGAATTTAAAAATTTATATATAGATTTTGCATTTTATCCAATAAATTATTTTATTAATAAGCTAAGACAAAAACAGTTACTCCCTCTGTCCCATTTCATTTGCTTTTTTTTTTTTTTTTTTTACTCCCTCTGTCCCATTTCATTTGCTTTTTTTTTTTTTTTGGATGTCCTAAACATGTTTAGAGATTTCTAATTCATATGTTTAAACTAATTATTTTGATCATCACCATACTTTTTAGGAGTATTCAATTAATGAAAAATTTATTAATATTAATCAGTTGGAGATAAAAAAGAACAAAATGATTTCTTGTTAGATGAATTCTTAACTATCTTGTTTTGTTGTTTTTTTTTTTTTTTTGGTGTCCTAAAATGTTTAGGAAGATTTCTAAATTCATATGTTTAAATAATTAGTTTTCTCACAATAACTTTTAGAGTTTCATTAAATGAAAAATTTTTATTAATATCTTAATCAGTTGGGAGTAAAAAAAGACAAAATGATTTTTGTTGACTGAATTCTTAATATCTTGTTTTGTCAAATCATGCAAACAAAATAAGACAAAAGAAAAATTTTTTTTTTCTCCAATTAGGTAATTTTTTAACGTTGGTAGCTATCATCATTGGTGAGCAATTTTTGGCTGCAGGTGGAAAGAAAGTTTTTTTCTGTGGGTTGATTCAATATCTGAATTTGTTTGGTGTTGCAATTGGCTATACTATTGCCGCATCAGTTAGCATGATGTGAGTTCTCATACTATTCCTATGCAGAGATTCCATTTCTTAACACAAAAAAAGGAAATTACAAGAATACCCATTATTAAAAATATTTTAAACTTTTAAATTTAGTAGGCCTTGAATTAATGATACTGAAGTCATTTTTTTATGCGTGTAAGTGAACTCAAAATGCGACATTTATTTGTATATGAATTATTTATGTTTAGAATAAATCTAAAAATTGAAAATTTATTTATTTTTATCCTTAAAATATCTCCGATATAATAATTTCATAAGGTTAAGAGGATGAATAATTTTGTAATAAAACTTTTAAGTTGTTTAATTTGGTTATATAATTTTCAGTTGGAAATTCCATATTTTCTTATATAATTTGGTTCAGTTATATTCAAATCCATAGAATTGAATTTTTCATTTTTTTTCTCATACCAAACACACAAAATTGGATTTATAAATGAATTGCACAAAAATGGTGTGGAATTCATTTATTCCAAACAAGAGGCTAGAGTCAAATCAATAATAATAACAATAAAATAAATAAAATAAAACTTGATAGATATGATATTGGGTAGAATCATGATTTTATTTTATTTTTATGTATTTTAGGGCAATAAAGAGATCAAATTGTTTCCATGCAAGCGGAGGGAAAGATCCATGCCACATGTCAAGCAATGGATACATGATAGCATTTGGTATTACAGAAGTTATATTTTCTCAGATACCTGACTTTGATCAAATATGGTGGCTTTCTATAGTTGCAGCTATAATGTCTTTCACTTACTCCACAGTTGGTCTTGGTCTTGGCATTGGCAAAGTTGCAGGTACGCAATTATCATATTATTTATACTAATTCTTCTATTTTGTTACTTGATTGCTAATTATTCTATAAAATTCTATTTATTTTCGTTAATATTGTTATAACAGGAAATGGAGCAGTCAAAGGAAGTCTTACTGGTATCAGCATTGGGACAGTAACACATGCAGGATTAGTCACTGCTACCCAGAAGCTCTGGAGAAGTTTCCAAGCTCTTGGAGCTATTGCCTTCGCATACTCTTATTCTGTCATTCTCATTGAAATTCAGGTTCCAAAAATGTTTTCGCCGATAAAAGATACAAAATGATATCCTGATTGAAGACAAGTTTAGTGATCACTGGTGAAGTTAAGTTGATGCTCTTTTGTTTGCAGGACACAGTAAAATCTCCTCCTGCAGAATACAAAACTATGAAGAAAGCAACTACTTTTAGCATTGCTGTGACAACAATTTTCTACTTACTATGTGGATGCATGGGCTATGCAGCTTTTGGTGATAGTGCACCTGGAAATCTTTTGACTGGTTTTGGATTCTATAACCCTTATTGGCTGCTAGACATTGCCAATATTGCGATCATTGTGCACCTTGTCGGCGCATACCAGGTACATATATATTATGCTCCAATTTTATTGAACTGTCACACGTTCCTGAGTTTCACAAACTTACAAGCACGTGTGTGAACTTGTAGGTGTACTGCCAGCCATTGTTCGCATTTGTAGAAAAATGGAGTGCTCATAAATGGCCAAAGAACGATTTTGTGACAGCAGAATATGAAATACCTATCCCCCATTGTGGTGTTTACCGGTTGAACTTCTTCCGGATAGTTTGGAGAAGCATATTTGTGATAGTGACAACTCTAATTGCTATGCTGATGCCTTTCTTCAATGATATTGTTGGATTGCTTGGTGCTCTGGGATTCTGGCCATTGACGGTTTATTTCCCAATTGAGATGTATATTTCTCAGAAGAAGATCGGACAGTGGACTAGCCGGTGGATTGCCCTTCAGATTCTCAGTGTCTGTTGTCTCTTCATCACCATAGCTGCTGCTGTTGGCTCAGTGGCCGGAGTTGTTCTTGATCTCAAAACCTACAAGCCATTTAAAACTAGTTATTGAAAGAAAGTTATAGCAGCTTCTGTTGTGTGAGTAGTAGTTACAAATAATTAAGAAAAATCTAGCTGTCTATGCAAATGTATTCAAGCAACTGTTAATGTTAATTTGATCAGCAGGTGTTATTTCAAGTTGATATAATCCTTGCATTACTTAGTGATTTTATTCCCAGAAAACCCAGGATAATATTTTAAATGAAAGAGAACAGAGACTTCAGTTAAACCATTCGGTAAAAATAAATGATAATAATTCAACAAATACAATGACCAGTTCACATTCTTAGCATACTACAAAGATACAAGTCTATACAAAATTAAATAAATAAGATTTATATGTTGTAGAATTTGCTATCCTTTTCCATAGCCACCAAATGTTACAAAAATCAACCCGAAAACTAGCTGCCGTTATTTCTTGTATTTAGCCTTCATTTCAGCAGAAGTTGCTTCCGCAGCAGCCTTAGCAAGTTTTGTAGGTTTGAAGACACTCTTTGGGTTAAGAGCCTTTCTTATCTTGAAAACTGCCCAAGCAGTGCCAATGGCATGTCCCGCAGCATCAAGCCCCTCATTTGTCGCCTTTGCTGCTTGTTCTCCATACCTACAATCACACATCCAACCATAAAATAAAGCACAAGTTCAATTACTCAAAAAATAAAAGCAGACTTTTGAGAACTGAATTCAAAACATGCACCCCCAAACTACAAATTTGCTTGAGCGGTAAACCTTCTGCATAATGCAATTTATGCAAATTTGGAAACAGGTTACCAAACAGTGTAATGTTTAAGATAAGGGTCCCTGCATATAATCCTGCTGGCTATAATATATTCCAAATTAGTTGAACAAAACATAGGAAAATCAACTAACAAGCAATATAAAAGTTCCATTACAGACAATAGCATCACCACAAAGTTCAAATCCAACTAGCCAAACAAAAAGACACGCCTTCTTGACTGAAAGGCACCAAGATTGGTGAAAGTGTCACCAGATAATGGTGATCGATTCCTTTAGTAGGGTTGAGATATACCTCTGTGAGACAAGCTCTGTTGTAACAACTGATGATGTTGACATGACATTCCTTCCTGCAACCTCAACAGCATCACACACCTTGTCTGCACAAGCACAAAATTGTAAGGAAAACCTTGCTACAGTTCTATAACTAGACCAGAAAAAATGCAGGAATATTTCCATAAGAACTTTTACGTTCTCCAGCGATCATTTGTACCAAGGACTTCCATTTCTAAAGTCCATTTCCTTCACGTTTAGCTTAGAATTTCAATATTTCAAAATGGAATACACCACGAGCTAATATTTTTTGGAAAAGTACGCATCCACAATTTCATTTTTTGTTACCGCCACATGCATTCAAAACATTCCCAGTTCCTATAAACTTATGATGCGCGTCCACTTTTTCTGACGATGAAGGCAAAGGCGAATATAGAACAATTAGAAGAAAAACATTATGGCTCCTAAAACTCACAGCTATCTAAAATTGAGCTCAATTCCATGTGAATTAGGGCTCAAACTCCTACACAAAAATCAAAGGTACATATTATGAAGTTTTAAAACACCCTTTTTTGGTCACTCAAAATTCTGTTATGATATTCTCAGAACCACACAGTCCTGGAAGCAGAAAATCACACAAAGGCTACTTACTGGTTTGCATAAGACATCTTTTACCAAATTCACCCTCAATGCAATCACAAGATGATAAGAGAAAAACTACCACACAAGAATATGTTCTGCCATCACACAGAGCATTTCAACAAAGTTCTCTCTCTTTCCCCTCCCTCTTCTTCTCTCTTGTCCCTTTTTTTTATTTTATTTTATTTTTATTTTTATTATTATTATGTAAATTATTACTACCCGAACAAGTACCACAACCATTTGACTCACAAATGCCTGTCAAAAATATATGGCATCTGACATTGTAACTCTAGTTTGACTTTTCCTTAATGCTAGATTTCCACACAGCACAAATATACCAAGACTTGCTTGGTAACTTTATTTTGCTTTCTCTTTTTCCTTTTTTTTTTTCCATTAAGTTTACCAAATGAAACCTAAGTAACATAGCAAACAGAAACAGGTACCTAAAATTAAAAAATTGAATAAACCACGAATGACAACCATGAGTTGACGCACTTCTCTCTGCTGTAATTTTCAAGTTAAAAACTTACAATAATGTTCATTAGATGGCTAAAATAACCTGAAATAAGGTCCTCCACGGCATCACAAAAACTGATGATGACAATATTAGGAAGGAGGCCAAGTTGCAAAAACATACAAAGAGAAGTACAGAATAAAATTGGAAGATATCTCTTAGAAAATAAAGAACTTACTAAATCCATCCAATGAAGCAAGCACAATTTCTCCAGGCAACAAGCTAAAAAATTTCTTGCCCGCTTTAGAATTCACAATTGTACCGGTGAAAATTCCTGAAACTTTCACAACCCCAGAAAGAATTCCGACTGCCACCTTCTCAGATATTTTTGTCAACCTCTTGACCCTGCAAAAACTCCAACAAAAATCTTAATAATATATCAATAAAATAAATAAATAAATAAATAAATAAATAAAATATATAACTAAAAAGAAACATAAAATAAAAAAGTCACTAGAACACAAAAATTAGGATTTAAAAACCTTTTTATTCTCCTCAAAGTTGCTGGGCTAATCTCCATATCTGATTTCTTCTCCACTGTTTTCTTGAAAAATTCATTTCCCCATTTTAACCTATCAACAGTAACATCTCCACACCATAATATCCCTTTAATCAGTTGCCCTGACCCAGCTGCAATCATTCTAGCAACAGACCCGCTATAATCCTCCACATTTGGAGCCAATACAGTCCAATACGCTGCAGAACTCTCCTCCATCAACTCCTTTTTCTCCTCAGACTTTAACTCCTCAGGCGAAATGCCTTTCGCCGTATTCCCATCCAACACCTCCCAATTGATCCCTCTCCCCTTCAATTCTTGCACCGTAAAAGAACTATAAATCTCTAATATCTTATCGAATTCCTTCAATAAAGCCTCTTGCCCTTTCGACGCAATTGTCACTCCATAATTCAACAACTCCACATCTCCATTTATCCCTTCTTCTTCTTCATTTCCAGGTACCCGAAGAGTAAAGAAGTAATGGGACTCGTCAAGCTTAACAGCCGCTTCATCTTTTGCTAAAGGCCATTGAATATCATCTTCACCTACACGAACAAGAACTGCAATGACTGTATCATCTTGTTTTAGACTGATAATGGAGAGATCGCCACAAGCGAGTTGTACACTCCGGTCTCTTTCAATTAGATGAACTATGGCGCCGGGGATTGTAATTAGAGTTTGTTCATAAGGTTGTGAGCTTGTTGGATGTGAATAGATGACGGCTTCGTCTTCTTCAGGAAAGAGATTCTCTGCTAAGTCTTTCGTGTCAATAGAAGGGTATAGAGAAGAAGACGATGAAGCTGAAGCGGAAGTTGCAGAAATGGCTTCTGGGTTTGAGAGATCGACTTTTGGGTAGAGAGATTTTGGAGATGATGACATTTTTTTTTTTCAATTTACTGGTTTAAGAGTTTCGGGGTTTTGCATTTTTGAGGGAACAGAGGCTTTAAAAGAGGTGAAGCTTAGGATTGAAGGAAAGAAGGAAAGCGTGTCGGTTAGGATTTAAATAACGAGAAAACGTGGCAGATGCAGCGTAATTTTTGAGAGGGCAGACGGAGACTCTCACAATAAAATTATATTGAAATTTGGACGCTAATTCCGTGATCAAATCGAGCAAAAACAGAAAGAGAAAGTAAGGAAGACAGCAAACTACAAAAGAAAAACAAAAAAAAAAAACTACTTTCCACGTTATAATTATACAGAGAAAATTTATTTTTTTACATTTTATTTATATAGAGAAATTTTTTGAAAATAATAATTTTAGGATTAATGACAAAGTAAAAATTTTAATATGCTCTTATTTTGTTTTATAAATTAAATACTAACTGAGATCTTATTATAGACATTTAATATTTCAAAACTGACTGAATCATGCATAAAAAAAATGTGAACTTAAGCATATTATGCGCACAGATTAAATTTGACTAAAAAACTCATAATTAATATTTAAATATGCACATATAGTGAGATTTACTCACAACTCTAATAAATACGTGCACACAAGATAAATAATGCCAATGTTTAAATAACAACAATCAATTTATTGTTAGTCTCCTAAGAGAAATTGACTTTATCCTTATTGGAGATATCTTTACTCGTTTCTAACCTTTATTCTATGGATCATTCATTCCAATTTTAGCTCTATCATCATCTTTTGCATTATGCCATTCTTATAAATTGTTTTAGTGAATATGGATATACTGTCCGAAACTTTATAAATACTGCAAGCATTTAATTCATCTTTCTCAATTTTAGAATATAACAGACATACAATCTTTATGTGAACTTTAGTGATGTTTTTCCTTTTATCCTTTTTGAGCTTCTTCTGAAATGTTAAATGGAGGGGATGTGGTCTTAGATTTTATAGAAGGCGGTTATTCATTGGATAGCAAGGAAATCAAGTTTAAGGTTTGATGGTTGAATATGACCACATCTTTTGAAGTTGCATGCAAGTCTTGAGAAACTATATTTAAATCAAAAAGAATGACATGAGATTTGTAGATTAAATTTTAGAGTCATGAACTCGTCTCTACTTAAATGAATTCAGTTTGAAAATTTTTGCTCCAAACTTCATTTTTTATGTGCAAATTTGGGCAAGCAAAATAAAGAATTTGAGGTTGAAAATTTTGGCTCCAAAATTTCTTTCAAATTTCATGTCAATTTTTTCAAATTTCACGTCAATTTTTTCAATTCAAATTTGAAATTGGAATTTTATCAGGCAATTGCAAATAAAATAGCCCACGGTTTTTTTGTTATTGGAAGTCTTAGTAAATAAAATTCTTTATTTAAATAACACATCCTCTTTCTTATCATTTATCACTTTTTATTGAAATTTGATAACCCTTTAGGGAAAAATTAGGAAGGAATCCATAAAAAGACCACCTCTTTAATCTTTGAAAATTTTTTGACTTTGTATGTATAAATATAACGGAGAGAGTATTGATATTATCTCCGCTCAATCAAGCATAGAAGTATAATACGACCTACTAGAAATAGAAGTAATTGTTTGTAGTATATTCCTACAGTCTTCAAAACCTGAATTTTTGTATTTAAATTAATTTTAGTCTTGAAATTATAAACAAAGTTCCATCACAGGGCTAATTCAAAGTTGGACCAGTAAACCGATCGTTTCTTTATATTCTACTTCTTGTTGGGTTGCCTCTTACACTTGAGCCCAATTTATAGAAGGCCTCCATTTTATGGCGGGTATTCTTCTCTTTCCTCGTTTTCCTAATGATACAGTTTGAACTTTTAACCAAAGCAAATTTTTTTTTTTTGAGGAACTTCTATGTTTTTAAAGAAAATACGTAGAAACCCATTTGCTATCTTTTCGAATATCTGTAATTTATCCACGTCATGCCAGCATCCTTGTTCCAGCATTGACTCGTATAAATTCTCAAAACTCCTGAGCAATTATTTCAAATCCGGCAGAATTGCGGATGCAGAGGACCTGTTTGATAAATTGCCTCAAAAGAACATAGTTTCATGGTCTATTGCTATCCATGGATATGCCATTAATGGCTTTCATAAAAAATCCATCAAACTATTTTCTCAAATGAGAATGTCGGGTTTGGTTCCCAATTCTTTCACTTTGGTGGGAGCTCTTGTCAACACTGGAGGACCGTTGAATTTTATGCTTGCAAAGTCTGTTCATGGGCTCATTGTTAAAATTGGTTTGGAGTCTGGTTTAATTGTAAGTACGGCACTTTTGGATGCTTATGCAAAATGTGGAAATGTGTCGGATTCTTATAAAGTATTTGAGGAATTGAAGAACCCAGGTTTGGTTACATGTAATGCAATTGTTTCTGGGTTATTAAACAATGGGTTTTTTAAAGACGGTTTTAGGCTTTTTGAAGAATTCAGGAAGTTTGGCTTGGTGCCTAATGTGGCTACATTTGTGACTCTTATCAAGGGTTGTCTTACTTTAGAGTTAAAAATGCTTTTTGAAACTATATATGGTTTAATTATTAAGTTTGGTCTTTCTCTGGATGTATCTGTTAATAACTCTGTTCTTAATATGTATTGTAGTTTGATGGATTTGAAAGCTGCTACTAAGATTTTTTATGAAATGCAATGTAAAGATGTTATTAGTTGGACAACAATGATAGGTCTGTTGGTCGATCTTGAATATGCCACAGATGCTTTAAAGCTATTTTCCAAATTGAAGGATAGTAAACTCAATCTTGACTCGGTAGTTATAATGAATCTCATTTCAGTTTGTGCAATTTTAGGAGATTTGAGTAAGGGAAGACAAGTCCATGCTCAAGCTGTTGTCTGTGGATTCGGTTCAGAGCTTTCTCTTGTGAACTCCATTATTGCAATGTATTCGAAGTGTGGTGATTTGAACTCTTCAAAAATTGTGTTTGATCAAACTACTGAAAGGAGTTTAACTTCATGGACTGCAGTAGTTTCTGGGTATTTGCAGAATGGCAACCCAAGGGAGGCATTGGATCTTGTGATTAAGGCAAGACTAAAAGAACAGTATTCATTTGATTCAGTTATGTTGGTCAGTGCTATAAAAGCTTCCAGCGAGCTTGTTGCTTTAGAGTTCTTGCGCCAGCTCCATTGTTATACTTTTCAAACTGGGTTTTCTCAGTATAGATCAGTTCAGAATAGTCTTATATCAGCATACTCCAAATGTGGGAATGCTGATTTGGCTTGCATTGTGTTCACAGAGATGGGTTCTCTTAAGGATGTAGTCTCTTGGAATGCAATTATAAATGGCCATGGAGAAATTGCTCTTGCTTTCTACCATGAAATGAGGAAGGGCGGTGGCGAGGATCCTGATAGTGCAACCTACTTGTGCATTTTAAGTGCATGTAGCCATGCAGGATTGGTAAATGATGGTTTGATGATCTTTAACAAGATGGTAGAGGATAACAAAGTAAGACCAAGCCAAGAACATTATGGATGTGTTGTTGACTTGGTTATGCGAGCAGGCTGTTTATCTGATACAAGTGAATTTGCTAGCAAATTTTTGGAAGAAATGGGTTCGAATGTTTGGAAGTCTTTGCTCAGTGGATGTGCAGTCCATGGCAATTTGGAGCTAGCAGAACTTGCTGCAAAACATATATTCGAGAAAGGCGCGGGAAACAAATCAGAGTATATTGTGGTCCTATCGAATGTATATGCATTAGTTGGGAGGTTTCAAGATGCTGAATTTTTGAGATCTCGTATGCAAAACAAGGGCTTCACAAAGAAGCCAGGTATCAGCTTTCTAAATGGAATTTAATATGAATGAAGTTGATTTTCTTTACAAATGCAATCATGGAAGCAGCTGCTTGTAGTACTTGGGAAAACATGTACATGAGCTAGGGTCAAGGAGTGGCTAGTGAAGTCACTTGTAACATACAAATAAGAGCTATTTTCTGGGTTGTAAGGTTCAAGGGATTACAATACAAGAAAGAAAATTATCCCTTCTTAATTTCTAATTTTCCTCCCCTTTCTCTCACTTTCTTGACTGCCAAACACCATAAGGTAAGTTTTATGTTCCAGATCCTTAAAAACTTTATGTTATCGAGACCGAAGACAATAATCAATTACGTTCCTTTGGCTTTGCAAATTAAGAAAATTTTTATTAAATCTACAGCTTGGGTCCATAGCTCAGTGGTAGAGCATTTGACTGCAGATCAAGAGGTCACCGGTTCGAACCCGGTTGGGCCCTGTTCATAATTTAGTTTTTCCTTTATAAAAAGTAACGTTTTTTTTTTTTTTTTAATATAACTAGTGTTAGAACGTGTTCGAAGTAAACTGAACCCAGTTGTGCCTTGTGCATAATTTATTTTTCCTTATAAAAAGTAACGTTTTTTAATATAACTAGTATTAGAACGTGGACGGAGTAATATTAAAAAATAAAACAATCTTTTATAATATTATTAAAAAATGATAAAATTGTATAATAAAATGATCGTGAGTGCATTACAAAATTGTATCTCATTGAAATATGCTAAAAAAAAGTTGCAATGCTAAGATGTGTTTTCTTATGTATCTTGCGAAGCTTTTTATCAAGGTATGAAATAGCAAAAGCCATACATGATATGACCTAGGGGGTATCAAAAAGATTGAAGTGTCAGATTCGACATGGATTCACCTAACACGTGACACAATTAGGATTAATACGAATACGACCAATTTAATAATTATGTTAAATTTATCGATATGAACACGACACGAAAATTAAGCAAGTGACACGAACATGACACGTTTAACTCACTTTATATTATAAATAAGTTAAGTAGGTCGTGTTGACCCATATACAACAAGTGTAATTTGCTTAATACCATAAACAGGTTTAATGAGTCGTGTTGACCTGTATACGACCCACTTAACCTGCTTATAATATTTTTAAATTTTAACATATTTAACTCTGTCAATATTTTAAAAAAAATTTCATACATAAAATGTATAAATTCTTTAAGATTCGTACCTAAAATAAAAATTAATACAACAATAAAATTTTAATAGGTTTTAGTTGAGTATTCATATTTAATACTAAAATTACCTCTTTACGCTTAAATAAACAGGTCATTTGCTTAACCCGCATGTCAACACACGACAATGCACATTTATATTCATGTCATAAATGGGTGACTCATTTATGACATGAACCTGTTTAATCTTAACCCTAACCCATATATTTCCAGTGTTAGGCGAATTGTGTTTGCTTGTCATAACCCATTACACTCTTAGTATGACCTACATAAAAAAAAAAAAATACACACATACTATTAATGTATTTTTCAATAGTGATAATAATTGTGAAATTTAACTAATTAGATTGAAATAAAAAATTAAGTGTTTTTTATTTTATGTTTATGATTTATTATAAATGATTGTTTATTTATTTGAAATGTTAATTTATTATACTTATTTAGTGTAGTGTGTCCTACTTTTTTAAAACTTATCGTATCGCGTACGTTACTGTATCTCGTATCCCATATCCATGCAACCTATTTCTTGGTATATGAGACTACTTCGTACATCAAGCTAATCAACCAAGCTTTTTTATATTTATTTTCGTGTCTTTTTTTTTATTAATGAATGATCAGAAAAAAGAAGAAGGAACTAATTTTTTTTTTCGAAAAAAACTTATGTTACTTATTATTTTTAGATATAAAAGAAAAATTAAATTAAATTAATAGAAAAAAAAATCATAGAGAGTAAAGAGTTGCGATTAGAAGCCAATTCTTCAAATGATCAATTTTCATCAAAGCCTAACTTTAAACGGAAGAGAGAGTTTATTGTATTAAAAAACTCATCAGCAGGGAAAAAAATTATGCTTAGTCAATTTATTGAACTCTGACATTTTTTTTGAATTAAATTTTAAAAAAAAGAAGGAACTAAACTTTTTCTCCAAAAAAACTTATGTTATTTTTTATATAAAAGAAAAGTAAAATTAATTAGAGGAAGGAAAACGCAAAGAATAAAGAGTTGGGATTCGAACCAATTTTTTCGATAATTAATTTTCATCAAAGCGTAACTCTAAATAAGAGGGAGAGTTTATTGGATTGAAAAACTCATGAACAAGGAACAAAAAAAAATTATACATGACCAATTCGATGAATATTGACATTTTTTGAAACTAAATTTAAGAAAAAATAAGAACTAAATTTTTTTCGAAAAAAACTTATGTTACTTATTTTTTTTTTTTTGATATAAAAGAAAAATAAAATTAATTTTCTCTACAAATTTATTTTTATATTTTTCCTTTTATTTTTCAAATTAACAATAAGTTTTTGCTTATAAATATTGTTTAGTTTTCTTTCTTTTTCTCCATATATGACTTCGATCTGGAGAAATATAAATACTTATCTTCTACAATTTCGTGTCATTACCCAATTTATCTTTTTCATTTACTAAATTAACTGCTCTTTGATTACACTTAGCATTTGAGAGAGCTTACACTTAGCTTTTCATTTAGATAGATTTCTGCTTTTTTATTCATAGTGACGTGAATATTATATGATGTTTAATGTTTAATGGAATTCATATATTGTAATGACAGTAATTATAGGAAGATAAGTTATTTTATATTTTCAGATAATGTCATATAGGAGGAAAAAGGAAAAGAAAACTAAACTACAAAAGGTTAATATATTTACAGCAATAGTAGGTTGAAGAGAAATTCTGCTTCAATTTTTGAAAGAGAATTTTAATTTTTTTTTCAATATATTAACTAAAAGATTTAAGAAAAATTCTTCTTCAATTTTTAAAAGAAACGTTTGTTGTTTTAATACATTAACTAAAGGTTTAAAAGAAATTCTTCTTCAATTTTTGGAAGAAACGTTTATTTATTTTTTTATTATTATTATTTTAAAGGTTTTAATAACCAAAAAGCAATAAAAGGCAAATGATTCTCTCTCCATTTTAATTAGAAAACATAAATTTTTTAATTTCTCCATAATAATCAAATGATTCTCTCTCTGATTAAATACTTGGAATTTAAAGTCTTTCTCAATATTAAAAGATAAATAAAATTTAACCCTAATTAATCCTTGCCAAGCTAAAAGCAAATACTCAAATATTGTACACTCTCTTTCATTGAGGAAAATAACCATGATTCTTTCACCCTAACATTGGCGTCCATAGCTCAGTGATAGAGCATTTGGATTGGTAGCCGGATCGAACTAGGTTGGGCCTTAATTATTATTTATTTTTTCATTTACAAAAGTAATATTTTTTAAATATTAGTTTTGGGTAAAACTAGATTACAAAATTGAAATTTTTTTACCAATATAGAATTATTTTCCACCATTAGATTTAAACTAGTTAAATGTAAACCGTTAGATATGAAATTGATCAAATGACTTATTAGCTGTAGAATAGGTTATCAAAAAGTAGGATATTTTTATTATTATTAAATATACAACTTACTATTTAATTATGTAAACTGAAAAAAAATTCAAAGGTAAATAATTATCTAATAAAAAAACTATTTAAAATTTTAAAACAATAATAAATCTAAATTATCTTATTGTTAAAACATTTATTATGTATTTACGTAATTGAAATTATATTATATACACATGACATCTCGTGGTCCTTTAAATTATTTTTCAAATTAAGGAAATTAAAATTATATACATCAAAAATAACTTTTTATATTGTTTACTCCAAATTTTTTTAAATAAAATTTATTTAGTTTTAAAATTAATATAATGTAAAAGGTTAAAATAACATGAATTTTACAACATCTAATTTGTAAATTTGAATTTATATTTTGTATTTAATATATTTTTACAAGTTTTCTAGAAAAAATCTTATATTATTTATGCCCCTAATAGTTATTTTTTTTGTTTAATTTATAAAATTTGATATTCTAATTAAGTTACTTAAAATGAAAATTTTATTTGAAAATAATATATATTCTATATATTTCATGCCCTTCATATAATTCAATATCACAAAATAATTTAATATTTTTAAATTATGTGTACATATGTAACTTGCCATAACAAATGTATGTTTGTATTAAAAATATTCTATATTTTTTATAATATGTTAGAGGATATATAGAAGATAAATAAGGGAAATAAAAAAGATAAAGTTTAGAGGATAGAAGATAAAAAAGGGAAATGAAATAGATGAAGTTTAAAAAATATATAGATAAAAAAATAGAGTAATTTATAACAATAAATTATTCTAGACATGTGTCAGTTATAAAGTATTCTGTACCAATACGGAATTATTGCAATCTGTATAATAGTAAAAGTCATTATTTTTAATCGTTAGAATCTTTAATGTGAAAGAAAATAATAATTTGAAATATAAAAGAATAAATTTTAGAATAAAAAATAATAATTTGAAATATAAAAGAACAAATTTTAGAATAAATTACAAAATTACAGTAACATATCACTACAAATTTGCATCGGGTCCATAGCTTAATGGTAGAGCATTTATTTTTTCATTTGCAAAAGTAAAATTGTTTTATATAAGAATGACTTCAATAGCCATTAAATTATGTGATGTTTAATTTTAAATGAAAAATTCCTAATTATAATTTTTTTCCTACAGAAGTATATTTTTTTTATATAAATATAAATGACTTTCGTTGCGATTAGATTATGTGATGTTTAATTTTAAATTCAACTGTTTATAAAGTACTTATATAAAAATATTCTTATTTAATTTAATTTTCAATCATTAGAGAAAATCTCCAATGTAAAAGAAAATAATAATTTGAAATAGCTAAGAATAAATTTTAGAATACAATTGCAAAATTGCAATAGCAAACTGCTGTAATCTGCATTGATCCATAGCTCAATGGTAGAGCATTTTGACTGCGTATCAAGAAGTTAACAATCTGAGTTTGATCGAGCCCTATTTATGATTTATTTTGTTCTTACAAAAAATATAATTTTTTTTCCGTATAAAAATGACGTTTGTAGCCATTAAATTATGTTTAATTTTAAATTCAACTATTCATAAAATACTATTATATAAGAATATTCATATTTAATTTTATTTTTAATTGTTTGAATTTTCAATGCGAAAGAAAATAATAATTAGAAATATAAACGAATAAATTTTATCAATGTATGATATTCCGAATCCTCATTATTAATGAAATCAAAATGATCTCTAAATTGAGTATAAGTACAAAATTACAATAAGGTCACTGGTTTGAACACGGTTGGCCCCTCATTATAATTTATTTTGTCATTTACAAAAGTAAGACTGTTTTATATAAGAATGACTATTGTAGATTATGTGATTAATTTTAAATGAACAATCCCTATTTATAATTTTATTTCCTTTACAGAAGTAATATTATATATATATAGCCATTAGGTTATGCGATGTTTAATTTCAAATAAAACTGTTTATAAAGTACTTATATAAAAATATTCTTATTTAATTTTTTTAATCATTAGAGAAAATCTTTAATGTAAAAGAAAATAATAATTTGAAATACAAAAGAATAAATTTTGGAATACAATTGCAAAATTACAATAGCAAACTGCTGTAAACTTGCACCGACCATAGCTCAATGGCAGAGCATTTTATCTGCATATCAAGAAGTTGCAAATTTGAATCCGAGCCCTGTTTATAATTTATTTTATTCTTAAAAATAACATTTTTTTCCAAAAAATGACTTTTGTAGCCATTAGATTATGTTTAATTTTAAATTCAACGATTCTTAAAATACTTTTTATACAAAAATATTTTTATTTAATTTTATTTTTGAGCATTGAAATCGTCAATGTGAAAGAAAATAATAATTCAAAATATAAAAGAATAAATTTTAGAATACAATTACAAAATTACAATAACATATCAAAGCAAATTCGCATGAGGTCCATAGTTTAGTGGTAGAGCATTGGGTCCTATTTATGGTTTATTTTCTTTTTACATTTATATGATAATGATTTATGTAGCTATTAGATTATGTTTAATTTTAAACTCAATGGTTCATAAAGTATTTCTTATATAAAAATATTCTTATTTAATTTCATTTTCAATCATTAGAAAAATTTTCAATGTGAAAGAAAATTGGAGTAAATGGAATACAAAAGAATAAATTTTGAGATAAAAATGCAATAGTAAACCGCTGCAAATCCGCATCTTGTCCACAAGGAAACCATGAAATTCAACAAAATCAGTACCAGTCCCATCAAAATAATACGTCCCTTAATTATTGAAGGCCATATCTCCGATCAAGGTGCAAAAATCCTACCCCTTCCTTGGAAATAGGACAAGTACCGATAAGCCCAATTATTAATAATCTAGGAAAAACTTTTAAAAAAATTTTTTCAAACTAATCTAGTCTATCTAGATAAGCATGTCTACGCCATACACCCAAATTTAGGATCTCAATACTAATTTAAAAAAAAGCCTAAAATGGAAACATTAGTATATAAAATATAAAAAAGAAAAGATTCAAATTTACCCAGCCAAGCATGTCTACGCCATACACCAAAATTTAGGATCTCAGTACTAAGTGAAGAAAACCTAGCAAGGAAGCATTAGAACATAAAATATAAAAAAGAAAAGGGAGGAACTTCCTTCCATCGTAAGAAGTACCTCCCCCATTTCTACTTTGATATAAGCATTTTACATTATTTTACTTTAAGTGTTTATTTACAATTTTGAGAATATATTAATTACTCTCTCCGATTCATTTATATAAACACAACTAATTGTGCATAGGGATTAAAGAATTTGTTAAATTATAATTTTTGAACAAATCTTTCTTATTTTGCCCCTAACATTGCTTTAATTGAATACTTGTTTTGAAAGTCAAATATGTCATAAGAGCTTCTTATCATAAACACAATTGATTACTTATACCCATAATGAAAGGATAAATCACAATAAAAACACACCCATTTCTCCTAATTACTGCCAAGTTTAACCTCTTCATCAAAATTTTAAATTTGGCCTCTCATTTTTGGTGTAAAAATTTTGGTGGGAAATGAAAGTTTAATTTTTATTTAAAAAATGTGGACACTTAGTAAAGGAAGTATGTGCAAATAACCTTTTTGGAGCCAAAATTTTTGATAGCATCAATTTTCTCTTCAAATTCTTTCAAAATACCCAGTTATAAATAATGTTAATTCAATAGCTAAGAAATTGCACATGAACTATAACAAAAAAAGTCCACTTCCTACAACCATGTCACATCCATTTGATCTGAATCTGCAACCCCCTGATTCACCCATAATTTTCAAAAATGTGCTCACTCCAACTGTTGGTCCCTTGAACTTGATTGATTTAAAAGCAAAAAAAAAAAAAAAAAAAAAATAATTTTCAAAATGTGCTACTGCCAACTGTGGTCCCTAAAAAAAAAAAAAAAAAAAAAAAATCACCGAATCATGATGAAGAGCTTGAATTCACACAATGTTCTTCTGGCATGGTTGCTAGTATGAAGAAAGGAGCAAAGAAAAAGAACATGATAGAAGAAACAAAAAATTTAGTAAAAAATATGCTTCTTTCTGAAACGCAAGGAACGTTAAATTCGTGCTCTATCGAGAAAGTTGTACACAAACTGTCTATTTCAAAAAGGTCAATTTATAGAACTTGGAATATTTCAAAGAATGGTGCATTAGTTACAGATGTGATAAAGTGTTTTTAGAACAGAGATAAGAAGCATATTGTCTTTCAGCGCATAGAATTAAAGAAATACCGCTCAAACGTCAAATGAACCAATGGTCACTAGCACGTGAACTGGACGTATCTTTAATAACCGTACACAGAATGTTAAAAAGATGGGACATTAGACCACATTCAAATGTAATTAAACCAATACTGAAGGAAGAGAACAAAAAAACAAGAATTGATTTTTGCTTGTCGATGATTTATATAGGTACAATCACTAGCAAATCCCTAATTTTTCGAAATGAAAAAATTTATAAGCACCATTTTTTTTTTTTTTTGCAACAAACCGCTGTCATTTTGAGGCAAAGCATTCAAGTCAGAATTGGTAAACAATCTCTTGTGCCCATTTATAACCATGCTTATTTTTTTACATGATTAATTTTTCATAAAATGTGTCTACAACATCAAAACTGTGTGCAATTATGCTTGAAATGGAGAGAGAAAGATAATACAGTTATAAATTGATTAGTGAATCATATTTAATGAAATATTTGAACTTTGTTTGCCATTGTCTTATTTTTCTAAAAAGTTGGTACTATAAACAAAACAAATCAAGGGTAATTTAGACTTTGCACTTTGACCATCGTCCAAATTAAATAACTTTGTCTATATAAATGGAACATCGAAAATCGAAACTTTGTCTATATAAATGAATCGGAGGGAGTATTTATTTTCCAAATTTACACATATTTATTAGGTGTTTTATAGTAAAATTAAATGGGAAGCTTCTAATTTTAAGAAGCACAATTTAGACATTCTACCATATATTTTTTAGAAAATCAATATATTCTAATAATTTTCTTAATCCTTGTAAAAAGATCAGTGTTTCTATTAAAGTGAAACGGAGGGAGTAGTAGCTAGTAGCCTTAACTAAAGAATGAGCCACAATATTAGCTTGTGGACAAACCCACTGAGCACAAAAAGCATTGCCTTCACTTAAGAGAATGTGACAATCCCTTATAAAAGTCCCATATTCATTATTTGAAATATTAGGAGAGATCAAGTTTTGCCAAACCTCTCGACAATCCAGCTCTATATCAACATTTTGAAGCGCTTATTGTCTAAGCCAACTTAATGCTTCTCGCAAAGCTACGGCCTCACTAACTTTTGGAGAGAAATACTCTATAAGCCAATCTGTTTTGGCAATAATAAAATTACCTAAATCATCCTGCACCATAGCCTCAAAAGCCTCTTTATCGGCGTGCTGAAAAACAGCCCCATCCACGTTACACTTGAGCCTCCCAATAACAGGTGTAGTCCATTAAGTAAATTATCACCATGCAACGTTGGACCTATAGCTTTTTCATGCATTTGTTGGACCTCTCTCCAAGCATGCAATTCCCTTAAAACATGACTAACAATAGCTGAAGGGACCTCTTTATGATGCCATAATAACTGATTCTTGAAATGCTAAATGAAATAATCTAAACCACAATGTTAGTCATAAAATTAGTATCCCACTACAAAAAAAACGCAATCAGTCGCAAAATGGCAAAAATCGGTCGCTATTTGTACTGTGCGACCGATTTGCGACCGACTTTTTTCGGTCGCAAAATCACTGGTCGCAAATATAAATTGCGACCGATGAGAAAATCGGTCGCAACTTCTTGGTCGTGATTTAATTGGAATTCAGTCGACAATTGGTCGCAGAATTCGGGTCGCAAATTTTTAAAATCGGTCGCAATTTTATAATTCAAAAATTGTTTTTTGGTATCATCGTCGCAAAAATTGAAAAGGGATAAAAAAAATTATATTATTTTTGAAACCAAATTTTTCTACACCGTGTGAAAGTTGGACATAAATGCATATATAACACACGCAATTCAAGAACAGGTATAAAAATGTTAATTTTTATTGTTCTGAACAAATTAAAAATGAAAATAACAAATGGAAAAAATATAAGGTCGGAAATCAAATCTATATATGCTGCTGCTCATCTGCAGGATCCGATGTCGGATCGCCGGGAGGAGTACCTGCTAGATGTGATGTACGCCACGGAGGGGTGAGCAGGTATCGACTGCAGATCTGGGATCAGGAGCGATAGTGGCTGTGCTTGAGACGTCGAACATGTCGTTGTTGAGCAGGCGCAGGATCAGAGGAGAAAGTACGACGGTGCTCACGGGACAGCCGCGCACATGCGCTCAGAAGCTCTGCAATCTGTCTCTGTGATAGGCAAGCTGAGGCCCGGTATCATCATCATCATAGTGCGATCAGTGTGCTCCGGCTGCGGTGGCTGCGCTGGTGTAGAAGACGTGAGCTGCTGAGCCAGTTGTAAAACTGGGGATGCCTGAGACCCGATGCCGATATACCTATCCTCTTCTTCTCGCCCCCTACAGCTCGGATAAAGTGCTACCTCGTCAATGCTTGTCAGCTTCGGATTCATCGGTGTGAGAAGTAACAAACGTCCCGAGCTGTAGTATAGTTCTCCTGAAAAATTAAAAATTTATTTCAACAATTGCAAGCTTTATATATTGAACTTTGTACATCGTTCGCTGATTAGAGGGTAAAATGTAATATTATTCTTGTTATTACATTGCACGCTCGCGCACGTCTGTCGACAAAGGTATTGCGAGCGTGTCCTTCGTGTGAGTGTATGTAAACACTCCTCGGTTGTGGGCTCATCGGTGTGGGCTCACGACCTAATTCTTTAGCCTGTAATGAATTTTTATGCATGATATATTAATATATATATTGTCCTTTCATTAAACATCAGTTTCTTGCAAAGGGACTAGTTCACTTACTAATAATCGAGCTGTCTCTATAGCAGATATAGATCCGCCTGTGTGTCGCGAAGGTCCTGCTCCATCCCCGCCAGTCTCACTGCGCCTGTTTTGTGCAAACATCTCCCGCTTTCTCTTGAATGCAGGATCCTCCCAAGCCTTTTGCCAGCTCTCCCATATCTCCTGAGACACGCACCGTTGTTTCTTACCGCTTCTTCTCATCCTATAGGTGAAGTCAGCGTATCGATCGGCGCATATCTTCTCCCAGGCTACTTTCAGCATAGCCGTAATGATGTTTCTGCTAAAAAATGAAATATAGCGTTTAAATACTAAGGATGTATCTTGAATTGTAAACATTGAATGATGATATAACTTAAACCAAAGAGTACCTGGAATTCCTCCCAATAAAAGTCTCTCACCTCTTGCGGTACGGCATCCCATGTGCATCCTTCTTTATGCAGCTGTAGCTTGATTATCTTCAAAATTTGCCTCGCTGCTCAAGAAGGTGGATATATGCTGAAAAAAAAACAGAAGTGAAATATAATTACACGAAAGCATCACAGTTACGAATAAGTACAAAATATAATTACAAAATATGCCTGCAGAATTTGAATAAGTACTTACTGTCCCGCTACCAAATTGAGGGTGATACCGTGGATCTCGATGAAGCTGGCAAAATAAATTGACAAATGTTATTAATTTCTAGTAATTAATATATAATTTAAAATGACAGTTATGACATTTATGTACTTGCACAGTGGGTGACTAGTAGCAGAACCCACAGCTGCTGGAGTCTGTATGTCAGAAACGGGGTAGAAGGAGGGAAGCGAGCAGAAGGCATGTTGATGGCCGGACAGTACTGGCGCTGAGCAGAGATTGAACCCCAGACCGTAACTGAGGAAGGAATGTTGAGGGCGGCCAGTACTGTTCTGAGCAGATGACGAGGCCCCAGACGTATCTACGAAGGATGGTGATGGCGGCAGTACTGGTCGGGGGGGGGCGTCATGTCGGGCTTCGAGCAGATGACGAGCCCCGGAGTACCTGCGAAGGGACGAGGGATCGACCCTAATCGTCCATGGGCACTGCGTCCAGGTCCACGACCTTCACGCGAACCACTGCCGGACGCGCTCAGAAATCAACGCTCTGCCGCTAGCCATCTGTACTGCAGATATCAGAACCTAGATAAAATGAATTTATTACCAATTATATGAATTGTAAGAACATGTGGTAAAATACGAGCAAACAAAGTGATACCATTGAATTCTTATTATAATATTAATTGCATATACATTTATCAATTGTGTAACATAAAATTGCTCTAAGTTTAAGTGTCTGCTTCCTCCTCCTCTTCATCAGCTTCCTCTTCTTCATATTCGTCTTCTGAGGTACCCATGATGATTTGATCTTCTTCCTCTTCATCATTTGATGGTCCTATTTCAACATAAGATCGGCTTTCATCATCTAATCTATCTGTTAAATCTTCAACAACTTGCATCGGTTGCGTTTCAACCTTAACTTCTTGAAATGCCTCCGATACTGCGAGTGAAGAAGATTGTTTCGTTTCAAGTGCATGAACAACTGATCTAGCCTTGATTTTGCACACTACCATCCAATCGCATCTATCTCGTTTAAACGATGGATAATATACACTTGTTGAGCTTGCGTGCCAAACAAAAGGTTCATACTTTGTATATTCTTCTCTTTGATTATATCAACCAGATTATATAGGAGAAACCTTCTGCCAATGTTGGCGTAGGATCAACAACCATTCACATTTGAATAGATTGTGGCACTTATTGGTAGGGCCTTGGATATTCTAACTCCAAAAACCTCAACAATTATTTCCCATAAAAATCGTTTGACACGTCACTGTAGTTTGATCCCTTTATGCACACACCGCTGTTCATTGTCTTTCTGCTTCTCTCATAACCCTCAGTATGAAACTTGTAACCGTTTACAAAGTAGCCAGAGTAGGCATTAGCAACCGGTAATGGGCCCTTGCCAGATCCGTAATAAATCTGTTACGAATATCGCTTCCCGAGCTTCGAGCCTGTGGGAAATAGTAATGACATGAGTCATATTTAATAAATGTACATTCCGTGTTGTGTACATTGAAAGTAACTTACATAATATTTGAACCATTCTGCAAATTCGGTGTCCAGCATTGCATCAACTGCAGTATGAGTCAAATTGGGAAGCCGCAGAAAGATTGATATATTCCGCTATTTATGAACGAACCTATAGCATAACTATGCTTTACAACGGCCCACGTCAGTCTAGAGTGTTTACATTATTTTACTTACTGTAAGTATGGTTGTGATCTCTTCGCAATTCCAATATAAATATAGGTTTTGAGCCGCTTGTATCTCTGCATACAGTCAATCATCTTTTTTTTAGTTTACCAATCGTACGCCCAAGGCGTAGGTGAAAATTTTTAGATTTCCTTTAAACTCGAATTGAAGCGATTTCTCCATCATGTACGTGGCAACTCTCCGGATGCTTGGTGGAAACATGTGTCAAAGTAGTGTGAACAGAATGTGGAAGCTTCTTCCACCAAATATGCATTGCAAATGGATCCCTCGACCTTTGCCTTATTGCGCACATTTTTTTAAATTTTTTGCAGGTGTCTGTCATTGTACAATGCCAATATGTAAGTATAAGTTCAAATAAATGATGTAATCATTAGAATGAGATGTTATTGAGTCACCTCTTAAATGGATACATCCATCGATATTGTACCTGTCCTGCTAAATGACATTCATAGGGCAAATGAATCGGCAGATGTTCCATAGAATCAAAGAAGCCGGGTGGAAAAATTCGCTCCAACTTGCACATCACCAATTGGGATTTTCTCGCGCTACATTGGTCCATATCATCGCATCGAATAAAAGTCGATCGTCAATTCCTTGAAAAGAGGACTTTCAATTATGTCATTGCTTTCCAAATTTTTCCTGGTACTAATCCCGGAATGCCACAGGCATCAATCTTTGCATGGAAAACATGGCAGTTATGGCTTTTTTCATGCAACAATCTGTACTTCCTCATGTCCACAAATCTACCATATTTGGAACAGTAGCATCTGGAATCTTAAATGATCGTAAACCATTCCGCACAATATTGCCTTTGGGGTTTATCTTAAACAATCATGCTTTCGTAAACTTACCAGTAAGTTCAGTTTTGCTCGAGATTTGGTCGAGACAAATTTTCTTTCATGTCTTGCTCTCGCTTTTTGATTATCCTTTGGTTTTCACTTCCAATGTTCATGACAGGTGTTGAACAGATTTCTCAACAATTTTTTTCTATTGTGCATGACTCAAGGTTATGACGAATTAAGAAGTGAACTCCAAGTTGGCAATCCCAGAAGTGCTTCACTTTTTCACCGCTATTCCTGCCAATTATTTATTTACTCTCTGCACCCAACTCAGTAACTTTTCTGCCCAATCTTCAATCTGTAGATATTCTGCTTCAGACTTCACAGTGTGGAGGGGTTCAACAATAGTCTGTGTTCTTTCTACAACATTGTCGAATTTCTCCTCCAAGGGTGAGATTCTGGTTAAAATTTTGCGATGGACAATCTCAACCAACATTGTTTACCTCATTCTTTTAGTGTTAAATGCATTAGTGTTTCATGCACATTGAGCGACAAGCAATTGCCAGCGGTAACTCCACCAGATACATTCCAATGTGGAAATCACTTGGTCCAAAGCAAAGAGCTCGCAATATGACAATTCTGATTGGTCGACAATAACAAATGTTTCACCCCCATATTCCCATAAATAATTAAGTTCGCAATCAAGGCTGCAGAACACATCAATTTTTGTTTGGAATTAGTAGGACCAGGAAAATAACACACAAAGAACATATATTCATCTTCATCACATTGACGGTGGTAGATTATGATGGTGTCACAATGACAGGCCATGAATGATATTGTTGGTCCTGATGCAAACGGCTGAACCCATCCAGTACAAAGTCCCCAATCTGATAATTTCTACATTTCAGCAGCAAACACAGGATGATAGTTTATCAAATGTTTCACGCTTCAGAGTCTGATGGATGAGTCATTATTACCATATCATAATCATGCAAAGCATGCAATTCATGTGTTGAGTGTCGCCTTAGGCATATAACCTTTGAAGGCGAGGAATAAGAGGGAAATAATACATCCTTTGTACTCTACCAGTCCCTTGACCCCGCCGTTGATATCTTGGAAGATTACAAAACTTGCAGTCTCTGAATTCCGAGTCAACACCCCAGAATATCATAAAATTATTATGACAGCAGTCAATCTTTTCTACGGATAGTCCCAATCCTTGAACCAATTTTTTTGTCCGATAAAAATTATCAACCATTGAATGGCCTTCAGGCAACATTTCCTTTGCTAACTGCACAAAGTCATCGTAACACCTTTTTGAAAAATGGTGCTCTGATTTCATGTGTAGTAATCGTGCCACAACGGATAGAACTGAATGATTCTTGCATCTAGGCCACAGTTCACTGTTAGCTGCACTTAACATGTCAAACAATTGTTGTGCTGCTACATTTGGCGATTCCTCAATATCATCCCAATGACATTCTACTCTACTCGCATCGATTACCAAGCATCGATTACCATATCATTGCATTGATTACCATACAGAAATTGATAAGGCTGAACTTCTAAACTTATCGGAATGGAGTGACCTGACCCACTTGCAACTCGAGCTTCACCATGATGTATCCATTCGTAATAATTTTCCACGAACCCATGTTTGCACAAATGAAGTTTCACTGTATCGATGTCTAATAAGGCTTGATTTCGACACTTCTTGTGATTACATGGACACCTCAACTTATTACCATCCATAAAACTGGGATTACCAACTGCAAACTGTATAAACGCCTCTTTTTCTGGACCAAAATAATACTGACTCCCCGACCGGTGGTACTATTCACAGACCGTAAAACTATTATTTTAGACACAGAAAAATTAGGGCGTTACACTGTGTTTATAAATGGAAAATTATATGTAATTGCATTAGTCTAAATCATCCTTAAAATATGCCAAATGTAATGTTCAATTTACACTTATAACTTACTAAGGTTATTTCTATAATAAGGGTAACTATATATAAATGTAAACTGACTAAGTTCATTTATTCAATACTAAGGTTATATATATTTCTATAGTGTACTATTCTACATATTGAATTTTTGGGGAAAAAATTCGGCAGCATTTCGGCACAACACAATCAAATCTCAAATATAAAAACAAATCAATAAACACTTCTATATCATACCAACATT